TTCTGTGGGTCTTGTTATGGACAACCAATCAAATATCAATGTGTCTATCCGCTAGTTTTTCGTGTTAGATTACGACTTCACTTCTTGTAGTTGTTGTACCTAATGATGCCAGGTAACCCTAGTGAAACGTTCTAACTATTATACTCTGCGTATCCAATAATAAATGTTTGAGTTTTAGATTACATTAAATAAAATTTATATTTGCTTGAAAACGAAACTAATATTCTAAACACACGACGCCCCCCAGTGGCATAGCGGCATGTCTGCGGACTTACAACGCTAGAATCCGGGTTTCGATACCCGTTGTGGGCAGAGCACAGATAGCCCATTGTGTAGCTTTGTGCTTAATTACAAACAAACAAACTAAACACATGACATTTCTATGTGTTTAAAAAGTAAAACTAATGCTTTAAATATGTGAAAGCTTTGTATATAATAAAGTTTATTTATTTTCAGCTCGTAACAGCTCTATTGGTTTGAAACCGAAACTACTATTCTAAACACACAAGATGTCCATTTGTTTAAAAACTGTAACAAATGCTATAAATATGTTAAAACTTTGTATATACCGAACCTAATGTTTTAAACTGGGGTGTTTGAAATAGATGTTTTAAATATGTGAAAGTTTCATAAGTTTTGTACCGCGAATATTGTTTTAAATATGTAAAATCTCAATATTTGTAAAGTGAAACTAATGTTTAAAATTTAATGTATATGAGACTTTCATAAACTTATTCTAGCCTTATATGCTTAAGTCTGAGACTGATATTTTGAATACCTGTAAGGTCTAGATATTCAGAAATGAAACTAATATTTTAAACGAGTGAAATCTAGGTATGTTATTAGTTGAAACTAATAAACTAAACAAGTGAAAACGTTGTATATTTAGTCAACCTAAAGAAAATGCTCAAAACAAGTGACATCTATATGTTTAGAACCGAAATTAAAATTGTGAAAGCTCTCTCTGATTAGAAATGAAATTATTGCTTTTCGTATATATGAAAGTTATACAAATATTCAGAACTCAGAATGTCTCAAATATATGAACGCTTTTTACATTTGTCCTCGGCTGTGACAGCGGTAAGTCTACCGACTTACCTTACATATATGTATATATATAGCAGATAGCCAAATGTGGCTTTGCCGTAAGACAAACGAATGAACGAACAGAATTTTTATATTTAAAACTGAAAATTACGTTTTAAACGTGACATTAAATATGTGTAAAACTAAAACTTGTACTCATTAATATCAAAATATGTGTAAAACAAAAACTTATACTCATTAATATGAAAATCAGGGGAACAGAATTATTCTCTTATTCTCACAACAGCTCACAATAATAGATTTATCCAACAAACATATTTTATTTGGAATAAATTGAATATAAGTCGAACTCAGCCTTCCAAATACACAAAAATAGCTACTGAAAGAATTGTGTTGTTCGCAAACATTAGACTTTTGAGAAACTTCTAACTCAGTATTGTTAATAAATTTCGTCTTTTAATGAATTAGGTTATTAGAACATTATGAAACTAAAATATCTGGTTATTACCCAATTATAATATATACTTGGTTCTAACTTAAAAAATAAATACATGAATATGTGCGTATTGTTAAATAACTTATAAATATTGTTTATAAATGAATATAACTGTAGCCATATAAAGATAATTTTATATGTATTTAACAGTTTTTACGGCGTTTTAATGACAGAGACATATTTTGTTCAAATATGTTTTACTGACAGAAACATCCATACCTAATAACATTTGTGGAAGTATATAATTATTATTGTATCTACATTTAAAATTTCACGTAAAAATAAACTATTTAAATGTGAGAGTGTTGCCTGGAATAAGTAACTATATGTTTATGAAACACCCAGTAATATATATATATATATTTAATAATAGTGCGTTCGACTTGACGGCCACTAGAGGCCGCCGAAAACGTGACGTATCATTATCCGAAGGCTTGCTGAGATATAAATGGAATTAGAAATGCTATCAAGGAAGGAGATCGACACTCTTCGCGCATTTCACGAGTAGCTGTACTAGTCGAACATCTTTTACATTTCCAGTGCGCAGAAGAGATGCGGGTTACCATGACAACCTTGTAGTCGATACGTGGCTTCATGATGATGAAAATATTCTTATCTTTGGTTATGTAGCTATGAAGATATGAATATCGTAGCTTTATGTCTTGACGTACCCTTGTACAGGTTATCACATGCTGTTAAGAGTCGCTGGTGAAAGGACTTGCGTTTAAGCCGCTTCCATGCACATTACTAAACTACAAGTTCAGCAGGTGCGGCCGCTCGTAAGACGGTCTGTACAACGTTTAATGCGACTCATGCCTTCAGTTCTGCTACTGCTTTTTATTTTCTGTCTCATTTTTGTAACCTTACTTCAGATTGCAGTTATTCACGTGAATAAACGTGCGCAGCACGCAACAAAGCAACACAGCTTTGCAGTAACTTCTCCTGCATCCATACAACTTTACGTGAATAGTGCGTCAAATACCGTATCGAACTCGGAAACTAATTCTCCAGCGCTGACGAAGCAGGAACCCCTGAGGATAGCCGCTATCTTGGATAATAAGGCTCCGTCCATCAGGAATAATAAGATGATACTTCAAACTCATAGAAACATTGCACAACTACGATATTTAGTGGAGTTATTATTCTCTAAACAAAACCACTGGAAATGCACGACAACAACAAAGGGGAAAAAATGTGCTATTAAACGAGAATTCGCTCAATTTATATTGGCCGAGGACAAAAGCAAAGCAAAATCGTATACGACTCGCACTTATCTCGATTCGCATAAATCTAGTACGGAGAACAACTTAACGAGTAACATTTACCTCGACATAAGTAAAAAAAATCATCTTTTGTATACAGAAAACAACATTTTATGCTCTCCTGTGCCTTTTAGTCTAGGTAAGATATTACAGTATTTTATATTCGTGATGTCTTCTAGAGCAGATAAAAATGTTACAATGTATGTTCTCCTGTGCCTTCTAATGTCAGGTAAACCTCTTGTTTTCACATATCTATTATTGTCTATAGTAAAATGGTACATTTAATTGTATTTTCCTATTTCGTTTTCTGATATAGGTAAAATACAACATACTGTTATATTTTTCTAGTATAGATAAAGTGTTACTGTTTCTTTTAGTTTAAGTAAGTTATTAAAGTTGTTTTTGCGATTTTCTGTATATTATAGTCTGTGCTTTCTGAATACGTACTTTGTTATGGTTCTTTGTGTGTTACTCTGTGCTCTCTAGTGTATGTAAAATATTACAGATTCTTAGGTTCTCATGATTTTACCCCCAGTGGCACAGCAGTATGTCTGCGGACTTACACTGCTATAAACCGGGTTTCGATACTCGTGGTGGACGTAACAGTTAGCCCATCGTGTAGCTTTGTGCTTAACTACAAACAAATCCTGATTTTTTTATTCACTATGTAAGACGTTTGTTTCCTGTGTTATTCTTTGGATTGTTAAGATGCTTTTTTGTATCTTTTAGTCTATAAAGAGCATTACAATGTATTGTGTTTCTTCCAGTTTAAGTAAGATATTATTTTTTTCTGGTTTGGTATTTCTTATTGTCTATGTAAAATATTACATTTTCCTATGTCCTCCTCTTTTTTTCTACACCAGATGTTGCAATTTGTTGTGTTCCCCTATGCCTTACAGTATCTATATACAATTATAACCTGTTATTTTGTACCTTGTAGTCTAGGTAAGATGACACAGTGTATTGTACTTCTTGCATTTTCTAGCCCAAGGATAATATTAGTGTTTTGTATTTCCTGCATCTTCTAGCCCAAGGATAATATTAGTGTTTTGTACTTCCTGCATTTTCTAGTCCAAAGAAGATGTAAGTGTTTTGTATTTCTTGCATCTTCTAGCCCAATGAGGTTCTTACGGTGTTTTGTGATTAAATGCTTTTTCAAATACTGGTACTTTAGGTAGGATGTTTTACGTTTTTGCGTTCTCTTGTATCTCATATTCCAAGTAATATATTACAAGGTTTTGCGTTATCCTGTAATAATTTTCTGTAACCCAAGTAGGAGTTACGATTTCTTCTGTTATTCTATGTGTACTTGTCTAGATATGTCGTTTTGGTGTATGATTATTTCCGTATCTTCTATAGTCTAAGTAGTAGTTACGATTTTTGTGTTATTTTTCGAGTCCTTCTCTTGCTATTAAGGTGTCTTGTGATTTATGTGTATTCAGTATCCCAAGTAGTATTTACAGTTCATCCTATTATTCTTTTTGTCCTATTATGGATATAATGTTAAATTGTTTTGTAAGTTCTGTACCTTCCATAACTCAAGTAGGAGTTACAGTTTCCCCTGATATTTTTCTGTCCTGTTCTGTGTATGATTTTACAGTGTCTTGTGATATCTGAAGCTTCTATATTCCAAGTAGAATTTACAGTTTTTTTGTTACTCTTCGTGTCCTGTTCTGTGTATGATTTTACAGTGTCTTGTGATATCTGAAGCTTCTATATTCCAAGTAGAATTTACAGTTTTTTTTGTTACTCTTCCCGTCCTGTTCTGTGTATGATTTTACAGTGTCTTGTGATATCTGAAGCTTCTATATTCCAAGTAGGATTTACAGTTTTTTTTGTTACTCTTCGTGCCCTTCTCTAGAATTGGTGGTCTAGTGTCTTCTGATTTCTGCACATTATATAACACAACTAGGAGCTACGGTTTCTTCTAATATTCTTTTTGCCCTGGTCGGGATATGATGTTACAATGTCTAGCGATTTCTGTATCTTTTGTCAGTCGAAGTAGGAGCTACGGTTTCTTCTATTATTCTTCGTGTCCTTGTCTGAACATGATGTTACATTGTCTTACTATAATTTTATATTCTGTAACACAAGTAGGAGTTACGGTTAAGTATAGAGGTTATGCAGTCACGTTATCAAAGCAAACACGGCAACAATTTGTGGTCATATTGGACGTAAATTTTATTCGTGTAAACATGGCCTCCGCTACACAATCACCTAGCTCTCCGTTCATTTTTCACGAATTTACTAGCAAATTAGACAATAGATGTAAGTTAAGATATAAAGAAATCTGCAGAAAAGTCGGTCTTGACACAACAGATCTTTATTTCATCCCGTCAGCAATGACAATCGCGCTAGATGCCAGTAAATTAGTCGATATTGCAAATGGAGGCCCCGAGTTAGGCCTACAAACCAACGTTAAAGTCCCACAGATTGAGAATATAGATATCGTAAATTATTTAATCCTGACATCTTTTTACACTGGAAAAGCCTATAAAAGCCTTGTATGCTTACAAGTATTTCGTGGCCGTCTGGGTGCAATATGTCAGAGTGTGGAAAGTGTAAAGGACGTCAAACTACACAGCTTACTCAAGGGTAAGTTGAAGTCGTTTTTACTGACTAGGCCTATTGTTTATGTTCTATCAGTGGTAAATTTACAAGCTAGATATACTAGATATATCGTATTGTATTGCATTTTAAGCCCTCCAGTATTGTAAGACCACTTTCTTCAATACACATTACCATATATATGTTTTATACAAATAAGCCATGGATTTTAGGACCACCTGTCTTGACAAGCTACGTTTTGGACAAAACTTTATCATCGCCCTCTGAGCCTTTCCACCTAGCACTGCTTGTATGGGCCTGTATCATAGTACTTAGATTAAGAGAAGCACCAAATATTTACAAGCTACAGATTTTATCAAGATCTGTGCAATATAATTGTGACAAGATACATTGTATATACAAGTAGTACTAACCAGATATAAAATGAGAACTGCAAAGGCTATGGTACGACGATGATTTCTAAGCCTTGTCAATGTTGTTCGGGTCTGCACGTTTTACTGCCGTAGTCCATTTAACTCTACATTATAGATCTTTTGAAAACCTATAAAACGATAATTCCGGATTCTTTGTCTGGTTCTTTGTACAATTAACTCCCACATAGCTGATTGTCATTTCAAATACTTAATCACAAATTCCAGTACAAGCAACTACACTGTGATTACTAGAATGTCTTTCTGCTACGTTCAAAATAGCGGTGTTTATTTTTCGGCTTGCCGGTAATGTATGTATGACGTCACGTGCATATGATCTATAATATTCTTTGTTTCCTAGTCTGTGTATGACGTTAGAGAGTCTTGTGAGTTTTGAATCTCCTATAACCCAAGCAGGAGTCACGTTTTTAATGCTATTTTTTGTTTCCTATTTTTGGTATGATATTACAGTGTTTTATGACTTTATTAACGTCTTTAACCCTAGTAAGAGCCATGGTATCTTCTGATTATGTTTTGGTTTTAGTCTGGATATGATGTTATAATGACCCCTAATTTCTGTATCTTCTAAAAGCCAATTTGATGTTACAGTTTCTCTTTAATTCTTTGTCGTAGTCTTGGCATGATGTTGTAGAGTTCTGTTATTTCTGTATGTGTCTTCTGTAATCCAAATAGAAGTTACAGTTACAGAATATGTGTAACAAGCTTTAGCCATTAATCCAGCTAAAGAAAATGCTTCAATCCTGGCTAGATGGAAGAAAAACTATAGCAAAGACATCGGCAAAAGCCAGGAAATGTTGAGAGAAGGATAGGCCTAGAGCCCAGTCATTCTCAAGACTTTATAATGAAAAAAGCTACAAAAAGAGTGTAAAAAATTAGGAAGTAGGAATGGGAACACCAAAAAGTAAGAAACAAGGTTGGAATGGGCGGGTTAACATTACAACACTTCATGGTTTTTGATGCAACCTCCAAGTGGGTGTGGTCATCGTTTCTGTTCTAGTCTGGGTATGATGTTACCATGTTGTATTATTTCTGAAACTTCTATAGTATCTTCCATAACTCAAGTAGGAGTTACAATTTCTTCTGTTATTCTTTGTGTTTTAGTCTGGGTGTGATTCTTGCAGTATCTTGCAAGTTCTATATCCCAAGTAGGAGTTACAGTTTCGTCTTGTATTGTTTCTGTCCTAGACTGGGTATGATGTTAAAGTGTCTTGCGATTTCTGAATCCTCTATAGTTCAAGTAGTGTTTACAGTGTCTTGTGTTATTCTTACTGTCCTCGTCTGAATATTGTTACGTCTCCGTTTGTTAATTAACTTTCCGTAACTTCGTTCCAACGAAACTT